GATAAGTTTCAAGTAGATTCTTACAGACCTATTGCCCTTACATCTTGTATGGCCAAAATATTTGAACAACTAATCAAACAAAGGCTGGAATACTACATAGAAAGCAATGGTATATTGCCTGCTAATCAGTTTGGTTTCCGTAGGGGCCGATCAGCTAGAGAAAGCATATCACATTTAAATTTTGATATCTTTAATGCCATTAAGAACAAACAAGTTTTGATTAGTGTATTTTTTGATATTTCCTGTGCTTTTAATAGTGTAAATCATCATGTACTTGCAAATGAGTTACTGACCATCGGACTGCCAGAAAGAATTGTTAAATGGATATTTGATTTCTCACATAGCAGACAAGTTTTTGTAAAATATAATAATAAATTATTTGGGCCTAGATTTTCACATAAGGGAGTAGCTCAAGGGGGAATTTTAAGTCCTCTTATTTTCATATTGTATATTAGAAAATTGAATTTAATATTAGGACCACAAGTGAGTAATTTGCAATTTGCAGATGACTTAGTAGTATATATGTCAGGCTCAGATGTAAAATCAGTTATTATAAATATAAATAGTGCCTTAGATCTGTTACATAATTATTTTCATCACCTTGGACTAGATATTAATGTTAGTAAATCTAAAGTTGTAGTATTCAACAAAATAAGACCATTTCATGTAGATATTTACTATAATCAAACTAAGCTCCCTATAGTGAATAAAGCCAAATTTTTAGGTATAATTTTTACATCTAATTTGTCTTGGAATACTTATGTTAATGAAGTTATTTCTAAGGCTTCCAGGGCCTACAACATTCTAAGATGTCTGGCAGGAACACACTGGGGTTCTGATCCAAAAATACTTTTAATTCTTTATAAATCCTTAGTACGTAGCCATTTTGAGTATGGATTTATGTGTTTTGGGTCTAATAAGAGATTAGTTGAAAAAATAGACATTTTACAGAATCGTAATTTGAGATTAGTGTTAGGAGCCATGAAAACCACTCCTATTAATTCATTGCAAATAGAATGCAATATTCCACCTTTACAGATAAGGTTTAACTATTTGAAACATAAATTTCTTCTAAAATTGTTATGCATTAAGCATAATGCTTTGATAAAGAAACTTATTACCTTTCATAACACATTTCCTTATTCCTTAACCTCTACAGTTCCATTTATTCTTCACGACTTTTCATTTATATTAGAAATGAGTACATATAACATATTTAGAAATGATTACCACTGGGTTTGTTATGACCATGAGTACTGGAGTAAATTTACAAATATGCACATCATAATAGATAGAAAACTGCAACATAAAAGTGAGGTTTATAATATATTGACTCAATACCCAGCTTATAGATCTATATATACTGATGGTTCCAAGAACGACACAAGTACAGCATGGGCAATTTACATACCTCACATCAATTGTGGCAGAGGAAGAAAGCTTCCTTCAGAAATGAGTGTGTTTACAGCAGAGTGTTACGCAATTTACATTGCACTAAAATATATATCTAAAGAACAGTATTTTCGCTGGCTTATAGTATCAGACAGCATGAGTGTTTTAGAAAGCTTGGGAAATAACAAATTATCTGCTGATACAAACTATCTAATACATGAAATAAAACACTTATGGTTGCAGTTAACTCAACAAGGTTTTGAAACGATTTTTATCTGGACACCATCTCACATCGGTGTTAAAGGAAACGAAAACGCAGATTATTTAGCGAGAACTACCGTTATCAGTGACAGCGGCAGCCCTGATAACGATGTTGCCATCCCATTTACTGATATTATTCCTATTCTAAAAAATAAGTTATTGCAGCAATGGAATTTAGACTGGCATATTACTCTATCAAGAAAAGGTACATGGTACGCTGAAATCAATAGTTCAATTGGAAAAAAGCCCTGGTTTGTAAATTACACAGCAAGAAGCAGAACATTTTTCACTACTATTTCAAGACTTAGATTGGGACATGCTCGGTTTAATGCTCACCTCCATCGTATGCATATTATTGACTCCCCAACTTGTAATCAATGCAATATCGCTGATCAGACTTTGGATCATATTATCTTTGATTGTCCGTCGTTCAACATACAACGTCTTGCTCTAGCAGATCAACTTTTGCAAATGTATAAGAATCCGGAAAATGTCCCGCGCTCTACACAAGAACTTTTGAAGAAAACTGATACATATTCAGCATTATATACATACATATCCTCAACCCTCAAAGATATTTAACTTAAGACTTGGCGTTAGCCTGCACCTAAAAGAAAATCAAAAGACTTAAAATATGACATGGCTGTATGGATAAAAGTCCTTTGCCTACCCTGAAATGGGTGAAAAAATTAAAAAAAAAAAAAAAAAAAGTAATGCGGACTCTACCAATGGATACAAGAAGGTTGCATATTTATCTTTTACAAGGCCGAGACTCTCTAAAGCTAATATGTACGTCATTATTTTATCATATAGCTGCCTTGTAGAAATTTTCGAAACATTTTTCGATACCACCAATTGTAGCAATTCTCTAACATAGTAGTCGATAATCATATCGTCATTACCGAAACGAGACTTTAGTTGATTTATAGCTTTACCATAATTATCTCCTGAAGGAGGAAAACTTTCTATGAACTCTCTAGCACATGAACCCCTTTCCATCGCTTGCAATAAATAATGCATTTTATCGTCATTATTAAGGTCTGTACTATCATGTATTTTCCGAAATTGTGCCCAAAATCCAATCCAATTTTTTATATGGCCGTCAAATTTTGGTAATTCAATTTTCGGCAAGCGAATGCGATTATCTACAGACTTATTTGATTCTGCTATGCTTTTAACTGTCTCTAGGGATAGCTCCGATGACGTTTTAGCAAGAAAATCGGTAGCTTTTTGATGTAAAATATACCACTTACTTTCATAACCATCAGCCGCATCCATTTCACTGTCGATCTCATCATCATTACGATCTTCTGCATCTAGCATTAACGACATTAGACTATTCTGGATGCGCTGAAGATCGTCATGGTGTTTTGTTAATTTATTTATTAAAGCTGATACTTCAGTTTTGTTGGACGATTCTAATGATTGCTCTAATTGATTGGCACACCTAGTAAAAAGTCTCCTCATACCTCTTCGTTCTGCGATATGGCGTTCCATTTTTCAGTAAAGTATATTTTATTTTCAAAATTTCTCAGCACGGTCGCCAGATGTGGTGAATTCACGTTCCTGCAGGTCTTCGGATTTATTACTTGTAGGAACTATGCCTCGTTTTAACCAAAAAATAACACTTTAGATGTTCATCTACGAAGACATTTTATTGAATTGAAAAAACAATAACATGTGACATTGTCAATAAAATTTAAATATTATTATTTATTTATTATTAACTGAAATGAGGTTTGATTTATAACACTTTTGATTTGAGCAAATCAAAAAGGGAGATGGATAAATTAGAACAATTAAATAAAGATCCGTAGCTCCTTCCTCAATGCCACAATCGCAGAGGGGGTTGTCTTTAATTCTGAATATGGCAAGCCAAATTTGGGAACACACATGTCCAATTCTCGGGCGAAAAATAATTGAAATATATTTTTACTAAAAAACTTCTCCTTAAATAACCAGGGTGTACTGGGGATGGTGAAGGTATTTCTTATTTTTTTACTTATATTAACTAATCGATATCCTTTTCAAATAAATGTGAACCGAATTCAGATATTCTGCAAATAAAATATATCAATTGTATCGTCATTATCAATATATTACTTCTTGAGATTGACTTTCAAATTACAATAATAATAATATATTAATAATATATTTCGACGTTGTAACAAGAACAACAAAAGAAACTCATAGAAAATAAATGAAAAATGCAGTCATTTTGCACAACTACACCAGATTGCGAAATGCACACATTAGAAATTAATTATTACTAATTATGATACAAAAATATGAGAATGATCATTTAGCTAAAAAATTAACCTAAATATCTCATTATCCACTGGCAAACAGGTAGGGACAGATTATGTTTGTAGGAAATGTAATGGTAAAGGTGTGGCCTTACTGGATGATGAAGACAACAGGGAAGGGAATTTGTGTAAGCGAAGTGTTTAGTTTTATATAGTTTTTACATTGACTGTAATGTTTTAGCGCTATCTCGTTACTGGGTGTTGATACGTCTTGCTGTGGATTGTTGTGGAAATGCTAGCCTTCTTGTTATCGATGGTTGTAGAAACTATGAAATGAAATAAACATATCTTTAGCCAAGTAGGTTTATTACAAGCACTTTTGAATCGTACAAAAAAATCTTTTTCCCCTACCACTTGTTCAGGACGTCTTTTAGCTGATAAGAAGAACAAGCGAAAAAAATTACCAGTTCTTTATCATAAGTAATGAGATTTACATAAATCATGTTATTACCACACTAGATTAATATTATTTGCAAACTTCAAATTACTATTACTAACTGTTGCAGAATTTCATAGGCTACAAAGAAATTTACATATTAATCAAATTTCTCTATAAAATATTATTACAACAAGAAATGGAAAATTTTGTTTAAATTCTTCTATATTTTTTTTTTATAAATCCACTTTTTGGATATGACCGAAGCCTTACAACATTTGAGCGTCGTGTTTTAGTTGAAGACCTTTGGTGTAAACCTCCGCTCGAATGTAACAGCATCACCAATTGCGTATGAGTATAAGTTTTTTAAAGATTTCGATTGTGCAAGTGAATGTAGCGTATCAGCCTTCCATTACCTTTCCCAAGAGCTGGTCACAAAATGGGAGGTCAAAGTCTCCAGTCTCAAAGATATTTTCTGCTTGAATCGAGGATAACTATATAAAGCGTAGAACTTAAAGCTTTTTTGTTTTATTGATACAAATTTTTCTTAGGATTTAATCCGAACTAAACACCAGTTGAATTGAATCAGAAATCGATATATCGAATTGTCATTAGTCGATTAGTAAATGATGAATTCAGATCGAACATCCTTAATTGACATTGACATCACAAGAAACAAATACAAAATCTCACTAAAACTTTGTTCATGACTTAGTTGTTATAAAATGTGAAGAAATACTTTAACTTTCAGTATTGAATAAATATAAGTAAAACTTCGTGGACTTGAGCTAAGTATTGTTGAGTATTTTGAGCCCTTTGTTTTTACAACATTATGTCGGACGATGAAAAAAATGTGCATAGGTTGGAAGGCACAACAGGTGATGCTCCAGGAGGATTAATTATTAAAAAGAAAGACAAACCATCTGAATTCCAATTTGCAAAACCATCTCTGTTGGGACTGGATAAATTAGCTGCCGCTAAAAGAAAGCAAAATAGACTAATATCCTTCCAAGACGACGCAAACGAAGATGACAATGCGGCTTCTAATAATGAGTCTGATACCACAAAAGAACGTAAATACAGGAAGCATAATGAAGAAACACCGACTTATACGGGTGGTATATCGGAACAAGCCCGAGAACGTATGCTGGAGAGATTACAAAGGTAACAAATTGCTATAATTAAAATTCATTAATAAATAACAAACATCGCAATCTTATATGAAATGCAAAATATGGTTAAACTCTCAAATATGCCTTGGAATACATTAGTGTATTGATTTGTTAAATATATGTAACATATATCGCACACCTAGATCTAAACTAAGACAACTCAAAACGCTAATTTGGAGGTTTGACAATACATTTGTTTACATGGCAGGAGCGCGACCACTGTTGATTCAACAAAAGAAAGCTAAAGTTATCTAGCGGTTCATCCCCGAACCTTTATTGAATCTGTTATGTTGGATAGATGCGTATGATCACCAAGTATTTGAATATTGTACTAAGTCAAAACTCACTCAAATTTTTGAGTTGTCTCAGTTTAGATCTAGGTGTGCAATATATGTCATGGTTATTTAGTTAGTAGCTAAATAATTCTCATTATGGCATACTTTTTATTGAAATACTGACACATAAAAATATGTTTTATTATTTACAGAAAGGACAGGGAAACAAGAGAAAAGGGTGTACATAATTCAACAAAAGAAGAAAAGAAAACATCAAAAGATGAAAATGATGATCACTACTACCGTCACCGTTTTGATAGACGCGAAAGAGACAGAAGGTATGATGACTACAGAAAAGACAGGGAAAGAAGAAGAGACAGAGATGTCGAAAGAAAAGGAAGAGAATCCGATAGAAGAGGTGGAGACTCAGAGAGAAGAGACCGGAGAGACAGTGAGAGAAGTAGAGACAGTTCACGAAGAAGCTACTATGAGCCAAGGTTTAAAGATGAACCACGGACACCCAGGTATTTGTTGTTAATAAGATATTTCTTTGTAGCAATGTTTATTCACAAATGTAAACTTATTAAGATATGTTTATGCACAATTTCTTGGAAATATTTTTATATTCTTGTCACATCATCTATAACTTAAAACTATCTAGGATTTTCTGTGCGGTCCATTTCCTTATCCCCTTAGAGTAAAATTTGGTTTCCCAGGGGTCAAACCACATTCTTACTTTTGACTCTCCTATAATTATCCAGTGTCTTGTTACCATATAATTAACATAAAAACATATTGGTATTTCAACACAAGTTCTTATTTGAAACATTTAAAATACTGTAAAATCTATTTTTGCATAAGTCTATGTCTATTTTGTTGAGAAAATTGTTTACTAAATCAACTGCAAAGTTTTTGTAATCTAAAATCAATTCTGTTTTTAGCATAAAAGCATTAAAACCAACAGACAAAACTGCTTGGGATGAAGATGATGATGATAAAGGACCTATACGAAAATCAAGTTGGGATTTCCCTACACCATTACCCCGGGACGCTGGACCCTCTGATCGGTCATATCGTAGTGAAAGGAGTGTAAAACCGATGAGAGATTACAAAGGAAGGCTTTATGAGCAGTCTGAGAGAGCTTCTCCACACAAGTGAGTTTTAGTGTTATCTAAACCTAGAGAATATTAGCTAACAGTTTAAAATCATACAAAAAGTGTTTAGTTTTGATTTTCTTTACTTCTATACTAATGTTATAAAGATTAAAGATTTGATTGTTTGTTGTTTGCATTAAATAGGCATTTAAACTAATGAACTGATTTAAAAAAAAAAAATCACCTTTAGACCTACATCAAGTACAGATACAATAAGCTATAAATAATATTTATGGGAGAAGTTGCAGTATAATTCTTTTTGTTATCATAGCATCAGTTTAGAGGTTCGAAAATTTCAAGGAGAAGTTTGAAGTGAAATCATTCTAGTCAGAATATCTTTTGTGCTAGCTTCTTGGTCTTGGATATCAAGACAAGATTTTACTGAAATTAATTTGCCATAGCAGCCTCTTGTTTTGTACTGCAAAGCTGAAGTGTTTGCTAAAATAACACTTTGTTTCCCATAGATTTGCTAGTTCCAGACGTGGCTTGGATGTAGATGACCCTGAATGGCAAGAGGCTGAAAAGAAATTGGACAGAGCTTGGTACAATATGGGCGAAGGTAAGTCATGTGCTTACACTATAATGAAACTTGTAAATAACTTATAGATTTTTTTAATGCTCATTTTGTTTTTCTCTATGACTATTTAGTCAAAGAGAATATATATCAACTACATAAAATATATTCATGATGGTGACCTGCATCTTTTTATAGCATCTTAAAGCAATCTTCATGTTTCTGAGATAATAATTCTGGGGCATATTGACTCAATTAACGACGTTTATTCAGACATATGAATATAAATTATTACGGTTATATGTGAGACCTGGATAAGAATAAAGATCTATTTATACCAGCCAGATAATAGAAAAATATTAGATACATTTTTGCTTCAAGTGAACAAGAAATAACTTAATGAACAGGCAGTGGCAGCTCACTATGTTACACCTCTGTAGATTTTCTATAAAGGTGTGTCATGTGACAGTGCAACTCAATCTATCCTTGTAATTGATAATTATAGGGTCAAACTAATACTCATCATTCTTATTAGGTATATAGTTTTATTGTTATTTAACATTAATATTAAGTTGATATACCTCAATCTAATTAAAACATCATAAAAAGCACATAAACACTACTATATAATTATTTGTTTTTTTTTTCAAATAGGCGAAGCAGACGAGTCCGATCCGTTTGCGGACACTAGTGCTGAATATATCGCTCGCAAGGAAGAGCAGATAGTGAAGCGAGCCAACAGGAAAGTGTCAGCGCAGAGACAACAGATAGATAAGGACAACGAGCTGTGGGAGCGAAACAGAATGCTGACCAGTGGCGTCGTGCACTCTATCAATGTCAACAACGACTTAGATGAGGTATGAGTTTTGGGTTTATTATATATGTTAACTTTAGGACTATTTTTTTTTAATTATATGTAATAACTAATAACATATATTTCCAGGAAAGCGTAGACAGGGTGCATTTACTAGTCCACAACATAGTGCCACCGTTCCTTGACGGCAGGATTGTGTTCACGAAACAACCGGAGCCTGTTATACCAGTGAGTGTATACTTTTTTTATTTATTTTTTAGTGCTTGTGTTTCAGTACATGTTTTCCTTCTTAACTCTTCCTTTCTCTATCATCATCCATGGTGCTGTCTTTTTTTAGGTCAAAGATCCAACTTCAGATATGGCGATGAACGCTCGAAAGGGTTCCGCATTAGTTAAGGCGTTCAGAGAGCAAAAAGAGAGGCGAAAAGCTCAGAAGAAACACTGGAAATTGGAGGGCACTAAAATAGGTATTTAACAAAATTATGCTTTCTTTTTTCAATGTATTAGCACCTAATTTGACAATTTTCTCTGATCACAAATTAATTTTGTTTACAGGTAACATCATGGGAATACAGAAAGAGAAAGAAGAAGAGGAGGATGAGCCAACTAAACAAGCTTACAAGTACGCCGAACATTTGGATAAAGGTAATCTACCCTACCTACTTCGCCCGCGTGGTCTAATTTTAAATCCAGTAATGAGAAAATTCCGTAAAAACTTTCATACCCTAATTTACCCCATTAGGGTTCGAATTTCGTCCCGTTTTAGTGAGCATCTACGTCCTAAAAAGAACCCGCATGCAAAATTTGAAACTCTTGTAGTAACGAAGTTTCATACAAACTTTCATCCCATAATTTAGCCCTTCGGAGTGGAATTTTAAAAAATCCTCTCGTAGGGCTCCTCTACACCCACTAAGGAATCTTCATTCCAAATTTCAACTTTCTATGCTCTGTAGTTTCGACTATACGTTATCTGTCAGTCAGTCACTCAGTAGACAAGAATTTTATATATATGTGGATAGCATACACTAACGCGATCTCGCGACCGAGCGAGTAGCTCGGTGGCGTAGTGGATAAGCGCTGCGGCCCGCGATCGTAGTCGTTAAGCAACTTTCGCAACGGTCGGTCACGGGATGGATGACCAAAAAATTATTATCTCGAGCTACTCCGTGCTTCGAAAGGCACGTTAAGCCGTTGGTCCCGGCTGCATTAGCAGTCGTTAATACCCTCCAATCCGCATTGGGCCAGCGTGGAGGGTCATGGCCCATCCTCCTTAACCATCCATAAGGAAGGCCTGAGCCCCTGCAGTGGGGACGTAAAAGGGCTGGTGATGATGATGAACGCGATCTCGCTTTATTTCACGGCGCTAATATCTGTTTTATTTTTATTAAACTTATTTCTTATGAATGATACGCGATAGTAAAGTAGATTACAACCAGGTTGGCTGGCAACATTATACGCAATCGCCTTTAATTTGATAATTATTTTATGTTACTAATGCAGTTATATGATTTTTAAGCAAACCCAACATCTTTTGAAAGATATATCAACTGCAATCCAGAAGATTATGTGTGTAATTATCTATTTACACTTGGCAACCTATGGATTGCGGCTGACTGAGAGCTGGCAATATTTTTTCTTATGATTCCTTACATACATCGTTATTTTTCTGTCAATAGTTCAATGATGTTAGAGCTAGTTAAAAAGTGTTTTTGTTTATAGAAGCTGAAGAGCCAGAATCAAAGTCAGATTTTGTGAAGAAGAAAAGTATCGGTGAACAGCGCCGCTACTTGCCTGTGTTCGCTGTACGGGAAGAACTTATGCAGGTCATAAGGGAGAATAACGTCATCATAATAGTTGGTGAGCTACTGTATATATTTCATTTGCTTGGAGTGGATTCATTTGGAGTCCAAACGATATTTTTTTCTCTTCGCAGCCCTGGTTTTTACAATTTTTTCCAACTGAGACAGAAACTTGATAGTGCATTCTATTCTGTGAGGCTCGAATTTAATTTTACCATATTTTTGTAGTGTATGATTTTGTTCTTTTATTTCATTTGTTTGGAAAAATGTCCGTACCTACCATAGTAGCCTAAGGTATACATATTTATTTTTGTAAAGCTCGTTTTTTTACCCCTATTATATAATAACGATTTTAGCGCCCCCTGATACTAGTGCCTAGATCAACTTCTATTAGTGTTGTTATTTATCAACGCTTCCATAATATGTAAATCATTTACCGGTTTTCGCCTGCTCTAGGAACAATATGTACCAAATCTTATACTCTTAAAACCAATTCTTGATACTTGACTTGGCGTCAACTTTTTTGTACTCTATGCTATTAAAATTATCCTGCGGCTTTTTTGATGTAATTTCCGATTCTCAAAATCTATTTACTAATACATATTACTGACTAACTTTTTAATCATTTAACTAATCTAAAGTTGAGTACCCATATTATAGCTTGATTGAGATATATTGATAATTGCTGGGAGAGAGATAAATATTTTAAATAATTTATTTAAAAGAAAATTTCAAATAAAAATTTAAATAATATCTAAACTAAATCATACTGTGTCCATTAAAACTGTAAAATTTTGTAAATTGACTACTCGATTGTTTCGGGAAAACTATCTAATTACACTAACACCACCTTACCACCTCTCAATTAAAATGAGTAAGTACTGGTTGAACTCGCAATACAAGACGTCGACTACAATTTATTGAAATGTGACGTCACACGGTGCTCCGTCATAGCTGCGCTTGTTTCGATTCTTGTAATTACAAGTTAATTTTGCAAAAAATAGAATTTATTTTGAAACAAAAAACTATCGAGTAGCCAACTGAAGCTTTTAGCTCTTCTGTGTTATAGGGTTGCCAACCTTTGTAGTGTCACCCTTTTCTCTAGAATCGATATTATGAAATCGTTTACTGTAGGCGAAACCGGTAGCGGTAAAACGACCCAGTTGACTCAGTACCTGCACGAGGAGGGGTACAGTCGGCTCGGCATGATCGGGTGCACGCAGCCGCGCCGCGTCGCCGCCATGTCCGTCGCCAAGCGGGTCTCGGACGAGATGAACACTAAACTCGGTGAGTCACCGTAAAATGACTAATATCATCTATATCCATAGCATTATATCTAGACTCTTGATCCAATCCAATATATATCCTAGCTATATTGGCGCAAAGGTGATTCCTCTCATATTTTGGCAGAGGGCTCCACAGTCAACTATGAAGATATATAAATAGATATTCTGTTTTTTTTTTCATAATATCGCATGCTTATCTTATTATCTTAAAATTAAAAGTCGATATTATTTGTCTGCGTATCACGTGACTCGAAATATTTCCCACCATGATATGTCGGCAACATCTGTTTTTTATTTACCATATTATATTTTTGCATCTGTGTGACTAGTGCAAGTGATGTGGCTCACTGATGTTCCTACGTACTGCGACTAAATTTCGAAGCATTTGTGACAATCGAATAATCTATAAGCGACAGCCCTACTCGTTTATGTTATTATCGCTCTCTCGGAGCTCGAGTGTGCCTACTTATTTGTTACTATTACAGACTTCCAATGCGTTGTATTTTAAACTTTATGGTTATTGAAATGAGATTCGCTATAAATTTTATTCGTACGTTCGATCGTCGTCGGGTTCGGCATGTTTGCTCTGCGCAAGATTCATCATACGCCTTACTGTGTTACGCATGGAAGTATGGAAAGTCAACTCCATTTCCGGTCGCAGGTGACGAAGTGGGTTACGCGATCCGTTTCGAAGATTGCACGTCCCCTAACACGGTGATAAAGTACATGACGGACGGCATACTCCTGCGCGAGGGGCTGCGGGAGCCGGATCTCGACCACTACTGCGCCGTCATCATGGACGAGGCGCACGAGCGGTCGCTCTCCACTGATATGCTGTTCGGCCTGCTCAGAGAGGTCAGTGGATTTTACTATAATGACGTACTGAGTTCGGTTCGTCCCACGGCTCACAGATGGCGCTGTATCTTGTTAAATCGCGCTAGAGAGGTTTTCAATGTAGGCTTACTTAAGATTCCGAGTGTCACGGAACGGTAAATTTTCTCGGTATGGACTAGTCGCTACGGATCGTAACTATTATGGATGGGCTCATGGACTTTCAGATTGTCTCTGTTTCTATATCTACATAATCCATTTAAAATTTTACATATAAGTTAACCATGTCTTAGGGATGGTCCATATTAGAAAAACATCGATGTCACCATCGTAAAAGCTAGGGATGTGAGATTAATAGAAAATAGTCGATTTAATAAAAATCGATTATCTTTTATAAATTATAAATCGATTTGTCAATAATCGATTTTAATGAAAATAAATAATCGATTTTTAAGAAAAAATCGATTTTTTTTTCTATTATTTAAAATCCTACATGCTTTGCATATTCCAATAATAAACCTAAAAGATTCATATTAACAATTAATCAGATTAAAAAAAAATAATATGAATAAAAAAATTGACAATTCAAAACTAAAAATCAAAGCAAATGTTCTTTTAAACTTTCAAGGTAAGGAATAATAAAACCAAATATCATTATTGATAGAAATTCTCAGTATCTTTAAACGTTATATAATAATAATAATTAAATGAGCACCCCATCAAAATGACAACCTTATTGTCGCAAAAAATTAAATATAATAATAAAAAAAAAATTGTCATGAATGTAAATGTTTAGTTTTCAATAAATACCAAACATCGATGTTGGACTTACGATGATGATATCGATGTCAGCATCGATGTTATTCTAATGTCGTCTTGAGTATCAGATTCTTCTTACATATTTTTTTCTTCGGTTATCCGCCATTTCTTCTTCGTTATCATTTAATTACTTTTTGTATTACAACCATTGCAGTTTCTTCAATGACTTCTTTTAAAAATGTCTTGCATCTTCTCTTTATATCCAATTGATAAACATAGTTAATTTAATTCTCGGAGTAATACGAGGGTCAAACTGAAAGTTCTTAGAAAATCAAAAACTGATTACATTAGCCAGTTATTAGTTTTATTATATCTTTTCAAAATATTGTCCATTCACGTCAATACACCGCTGCATGCGATGGAACCACTGGGAAAAGCACTTTGCCCACTCGTCCTTAGGGGTCTCTTCAATGGCATCGCGATACGCAGCCACCGCTTCTTCAGCATTCATAAACCGCTTTCCTTTAAGTTTTTCTTTAATTTTTGGAAATAAATAAAAATCACAAGGCGCGAGGTCGGGGCTATACGGCGGGTGACCCAGTAATTCAACGTTTGATGTCGCCAAATAGTCGATCGTTCGCTTGGCGGTGTGCGACGAGGCGTTGTCGTGGTGAAGGAGGATCCTACTGCGAGGTCGTTTCTCTCGAACTTTTTCCAAGACAAGTGGCAAACAATTGGTAGTGTACCATTCTGCAGAAACTGTTTTTTGATCCTCTAACACAATTGTTGCAAAATGACCTATTCTTCCAAAGAACGAGGCCACCATTTTTTTTCCCGCACTTCGATCTCTCTTCACTTTAGTTGGCAACTCCTCGAAAGGAAACACCCACTGAGCAGATTGTCTTTTGGTTTTAGGATCATAACAGTAAATCCAGCTTTCGTCACCTGTTAGTATGTCGAACACAGCATTTGAGTCACCTCCGTTAAATCTTTCAATCATTTTACGACACCAATCCACACGATGGAGTTTTTGAGCCTCAGTCAAATTATGAGGTATCCACCGGGCGCAAAGCTTCCTGACCGCTAAATGTTCGTGGAGGATTTTGTGCACTTGACTCATACCGATGCCTAAGCTTGTCCGAATCTGTTGATAGGTCACTCTTTTGTCAGTCTCTATCATACGCCGCACAACACAGATGTTATCTTCAGTCGTCGCCGTAGAAGGCCGTCCCTCACGTAAATCATCAGTGAGATTAGTGCGACCACGTTTAAACTCATTAAACCAGTTGTAAACAGTCGCACGAGATGGGGCTTCATCGTGAAAGGCCAATCGTAGTCTATCATAACTTTCTTGTTGACTTAAATGACATCGAAAGTCATAAAAAATCATTGCACGAAAATTTTCTCGTGTTAAATTCATGATGACGTGACACAGACAATTTTCAATTTGCCGCCAAATCGTAAAACAAATGACAAATGAATGAAATATATACTCAGTAATATTGGCAAAGAGTTATATTTTCAAATTTTAGAATTATTTTTTTATTATATTGTTTATAAGTGGCCAGTTCTAAGAACTTTCAGTTTGACCCTCGTAATGATTTGCTGTCTATCCCATTATAAGTATGTAGGAAAATAACCTACAGCTTGACCTCCGTCCCATGTCACAATTCACACCACTATTTTGTAGCTTCGGACCATCGTGGTCACGGTCGCCATAAAATAGATCATATATACCTACATACCTACAGATGGCGCCGTTTTTATGTAATCAACTTTTAAGTATTATTACTTAAAAGTTGATTAAGCTTCGAGTTTTTTCATTTGGCGCATAGATGATGCTATTTATGAAAATCGATTTAACCGCGCAATTTATTTAATCGATTTGTTAAAAATCGATTAATATGTCATGGAAAATCGATTATAAAAAATCGATTATGTTAAAATAATAATCGATTAAAATAAAAATCGATTATTTTTTAACATCCCTAGTAAAAGCCCAACATCGATGTTCGATATTTATCGAAAACTGATCATCAATGTTGGAAAACATCAAAGATTTTTGCAATAATTTAGGAAAAAATTAAATACAGTGAAATCTTTCGAAATTTATTAAGAAATAGAACAAATTATTGCATATTCCAATATTTTTTATCAACCGAATGAAGGAAAACTAATTTTGAATACAGATTTATTTTTAACTTCCTTGGAAAATTCAAGCAAACACAAATCTATTTGTTTGGTTACTCCAGCTACGAGTACAACCGGTGACATCTAGAGTAAAATAGTTGAACTTGATATACGAGATCATTTAGCTAGTACATCTAGAGCACGTTAGATGACCCTAAGGATATATTGAAATTTTTTTCATAAACATCGATGTTTGGCTAGAAAGCATCGATGTGCCGATGTTATCAAAGTTAAAATATCGATGACAAAACATCGATGCTGTGTGAATGCACGTTACCTTCCTATTGTACATATTTTGCACAGCTGCTTGGCATCGCTCACGAAATTCTTTATTCGTTTATAGATGGCACCACTACGAAATTTGATAGAGACAATGCCATCTACCAGGACATATTAGTAATTCTAAGTGGATAGTTTTTGCTCGTTGATAATTTCTTGTACTTCGCTTATGCGATAAGGTTCTAATAATATTATAGATGGCGCCATTATTTGGAAATTAAAACAAGTGAGTATTTTGGGAACAAGAACCAATTTAATGTAATGTAAAAATTTAATGTAATATTTCATTTCGTGATATCCGATGGCAATCTGAAGTGCAGAAATATTTTATGATGATTAAAACAAACAGTATTACTAACAAACAGTAGATGTCCTACTCAGTAGGAAGTAGGTACCAGGCATAGAAATATTTTGCTTTTAATAGAAATACTTTTCAATAATAAAATATTTTATGAAAGCACAAGCTATGTCGTTGATATTTTACATAAATGCCACATTCTATCAGTGTTTGCTATGGTTTTACCCTCAAGAAAGTTTGCTATGAGCGGATAGAATTCAGCAGGCGTTACATATTTGACCTTTTCATAATGATTTTAGATTTTACCACTAATAACAGAAATATGATACTAGAATATTCGATTTCAATAATCAGAGTATTAAAGTACGTTGTGATTACAGAGATCTCTAGCGCAATTTACTTTACTTCCTGGTATCCGAGATATTAATGTTTTCTAATTTATGATAAAATGATATGAAGTTTGTAAAAAAATTTACTTCCAGTCTTAGAAGTTATACCGTGGCGCCGCTGGACTGACGTCGGTCCAACAACGGTTCAATGTTCTTGTTAAATTTACTTTGGAGAATAGGCATTAAAGTTGACCTCTCAACGTCACAACTATGTAGAAAATTGCTAGGGTGTTATGTCATACGACATGTCAACTCAATGTGTCGCCGTAATTTACGTTTTCCGAAACTACTTAACTCGGTTATTTGTTCCTACTCTGTGATGGATTGGTATAAAGGGACAACATTGGTCAAAAATTCATTACAAAATCCAAGAAGGCTACATTACTTCAAGGAAAAATAGCTGTCAGTAAAATAGCTTGAGCTGGCGAAATGACAATTTTTCTATGAGTTCAGGTACCGGTAGTGGGGTGTGCGCATCAGATATTACTTTTAAAGCCAAATTATTTTACAATTCGAAACACTCAAGTGAAGTAATATATTGCTTATAATGATAATGAAATCTTTGGGAATTGACGATGATGTCTGTTATTATTATTTTCCTACAGAATTTAATACGACATCTTATATCTTGTAATTAATCCTCACCAACTCTTAACGTTTAATTTCATGTTGGGTAAATGTAAAAAAATTGAAATTTTCTATATTGTTTCTGAACTGGGTTTGTGTGTTCCTTCGTTGTTTTAGATTTCCATAAATAAGTTATTTAGTTACTTTACTTTGGACGTCCAATTTATATTTATTTATTAATTATTCATAATCAAATTATTGTTATCGTTAATTAACCCCAGAAATAAATACGAGCCCTGTGTAATTTTCAAATTTGAATCTTATCATTTGGGTACGTAATCGGAAATGAAATTAATCTGATATTTATCAAGTAATCATTTATTTTATATAAAAAAAAATGCATCATTAAATAGAACATTTAACTTACACTCACGAAATTCAACATCAGATTGTCACTTGTAACATTATAAATTAGGTCGTCATTATGTTCATGTACATTTGTCAAAATACTTTAATAAATAACATCTAATTAACTTTTTCAATTAGTTGAACCAGTCATCTTTATTGAAATAAGTAATATAAAATTGTCAGTTATGCGTTCAAAACAGTTCCCATATATAAATATATATTTTTTAAATTACAACATTTTTACTGTCATCTCAATGCAAAAATCCCTTATAAAACAGTCTTATTCTATTTTTTTATAAAGTAATACACGTAAGACTAGGGTATCACTCTCAGACCATAAACAAATTTCTTCTTAACAATTATCGCTTAAGTTACGATAAATTACTATTACACTGTAATATCATAGATTAGAGCATTACAAATATAACGTACGAGCGAAGGGGCGTCTTTATAAATCCAGGAATGTTTTATCATTACAATCCAACTAGAATCTGATCACATACTTTCCATAAACGAACTCCTTTGCAAAAGTTAATAATAGAATACTGAAACTCTTTTTTAATTGAAAAAAAAAAGTTAATGAAATTCAAAAAAGGAACTTTCTATTTTGACTTCTTTCGAATTTTGGAACGCGTTCAAAATTCGCGGCGTCGACCACGGCGCGTGATGTTTTAGACGTGGTCTATGTTAGCGTTGGGCAGCCAAAAGCAGGTGTAGCAGCTGGTTCCAGCGGTCGAGCCGCTGGGTAGCGACACTCAGACCGACTTCGCCTTCTCCCTCGCGTGGGACTGGCTGACCAGCATAACACCCATGTTCATGCCGATGTTCCCCCATTTGAGCGACTCGCTTATCTGCAACAAGCGAACTGGAAATTAAACTTTGACCTAACGGAATAGCACTGTATAATTTTTAAGTTATTTACAATGTAATCTCGTATTTTTCATAATGTTTAGTATAAACATAATTTTAATCTAACTTTCTAATCTTTACCTAAAAATAAAATTCGTTTATTTAATTTATTAATATTAGTAGGTGTGAACACACTCTAGTAATTGTACGGCATTAATATGACAGCATTTTAGTAAAAAGCATAATTTTCCGTCTGTACAAATTAAAATAAAAAATAATGTCATCATAAAAACGTTATCAACATTTTCATGAAATGTCCGCGACATAATTGAGCGTGTATTTAACTATAATATTATCTTTGCAATATAAAATTGTACGGGTGCCATAGACAAAGATAAGCCTTATCGCGTTTCAATACTGCCATTACAATTTTCCTTTTTTTTTATAAGTCATGTGGCATGAAATATTACGAAAGTAATACTAATCTATACAAAATAATATTATAAATGTTTGCTTATCAACTGACTAAACTCCTGAACCAATTTTGCTTACGATCTGGTCAGATATTAATTGAACTTTGGAGAAACACAAAGCTGTAAATGATATTTATATTTCCCAAATACATATTTACACAATGGTTATAGAAATAAGAAACGCCAATAGATGCCTATATAGTTATTAAAAATATTAAATTATTGCTAATTTTGACCTATTCAAACTACCTAAGAATATGCAAATAATTTTGTTTTACGCAAATACTCGAATGTGTTTCAACTTGCCATACATAAATAGTGCCGGGGTATTGTATTAAAATAAATGTTAATTCCGTATACATACCTAAGTACAGACACACATAAAAATGTTACTTGTTGCCGCTTTTGTAATTTGACTGCTTTCATATATGAAGTAAAAATGAATTTCTTTTTAACTAGTACCGAAACTCATTTTTGAAAGAACTTTGAATGAAACTATTGAAAGGTGCTTTAAAATTTATCTCTATCTGATTGTTAAGGTTATCTTTACTAATGCTTTAAACATAAAATTTTTCGTTGTTTTTATAGAGTAGGCTCCGAAACTATCGCAACAATTTAAAAAAATCGAGAAGGCCATAGGGTTTAATTTATACGGACTAAGTCGCGGTTAAACAGCTAGTGATTTATACAAGTTATATTATATTAGTTTCTTTGTGTGCCACTTGATTCTAGACCTCTTTATAAGTGATCATTATTCATTGATCTGTATGTCTCTATACTATTATAATACATTGTTTAAAATGATGTCATTGTTGTAACAAGTGCAGTTTAAAATTTACTTTTATAGCGGAGTTTGCTATTACAAGAACTAAAAACGTGTATTTCTTACTTTGTGTATTCAATCGAGTTACTTCACGAGCCATCGCGGAAGTACGTGACATTTTTCACGCATCAATTAATTATCATCACGCTTTTCAAACGAGGGAATTGGACCTAAATTTTTTCGCCTATCTAAATTGGAAGTCATGTTTTAAACATATTCATTGAAGTATTATAAATATTAATATTTGCAAGTAAAACTGTTCTAAATACGTAAATAAAACACAAGATATGTGATAATATTACAAGAATAGTACATATTCCTGGTACACATAATCAGCTTGTTTATAATTCAAAACCTCACCGGTAATTGTAAATGTTGCCAGCCTTTTGAGTCCATAGCGCCACATCGACTACCATCAAAAGATGATAATCATGGGTGTTTTCGACGTCGTTAAGCTGATCTGTAACAGAATTGCTACGTTGCGATCTCTTGGTACTTTTTTTTGGTCGCCCCCATGTCCATGCATAACACAGCCCGATGATCGCCTTGTACCCAAGTTTTCAATGAAACCGCCATATTGTTTTCCTCCATTGCTGACCAAGTGAAACTAAAGCGTATACCGCTGAGACGTTCACAGTAAGCTACATGAATTAACTCAAAAATGACAATGATGTTCTATTTCGTCTGCTAACTGTCGTTACACGCTCACATACTAATGAATTTGCGGGTGTAAATAAACAGCAAAGACAGATTTTTATTTTTTCAATGATATCTTAATGAAGATGTGGAATAACATGCAGTTCGCTATCAAATTCCAGAACCGACGCTTCTAATGAATAGAAAAATATATAATCGATCAATAACAAACCAGTCTTAAACAGAAATAAACCGGTCGGACTACTTCGTTGCAAATGCCGTTACCGCGGGTTCTAGAATTTTCACCAAAGGTATTCCGATTGCGGTATTTGTAAACATGCATATATATATGTCTGTGAAAAATGTATGTGTGTGTGTGATCGTTTACCTGTCTCATGCGAGCTTCTTGCGGAGTCTCCCCATAGCGACACCAGTGGACGAAATGCAGCGTATTGTGCCAATTCCTCTCGAACCTTGATTTAGTGGCCATTTCAAGCTGCAATCAGGAGAAGCTCCTTAGTAGCTGTTCCTCTGTTCAACTGTGTCACGTGTCCACAGTGTTCCCAAGAACGAAAGCCCGATGCTTTCGTTATCTGAAATGAGAGGTTTCCAATTCTGACGCAAGCCTACGGAACGCATTGAAGAGTGGCAAGTTTTCGGATAGATAGAGGAGTACCATAGAACGGTACGAATGGTCATGCATTAGTTTTTGAACTCTAAAATATATTAGATTAATGTTGTACATTTTAATTAGGATAAGAGTTGCCCTTTTTAAGAAGCTAGTGGATACTAAGTATAATCAAGTAGGTGTCATGACTTCATTTATTTATAACGGGGACAACATTTGTTTGTATCTAAATTGAGGTCGCTCGCTACGAGTCTGCTAATATTCCTTTAAATTGCTTTACTAACAATGTTTACTTATTGAGCGTGCTTTAGTAGTTAACTGTTGAGACATTGAATATATGTATTTTGGCACATAATTTAGTTGCAAAATTAAATTGTTTTCGTGACTTGACTTGTATATATAAGGAGACCGCTAAAAAGTTATGTCAGACGACATTTAATGGTGAAACTTGTTTGGGTATTGATAATTTCCGTATCTCTGACGTTTGTATTGGTAAGATATATAATGAGGCATTTTGGGGCGAAATACTGACTTATATGGTTGCTATGTTCATTTGGAATGTAATTAACGGGACTTTAATGAGTTGAAACCGATTATCCATGTGAATTGGAAACTTCAACGCTGGTCGACGTTTTCCTAAGTTGTTTACCTTAGCCCTGATGTCTTTCTCGCTGTTCGGAGTCTCCTGTTTGTCATCAATGTTATTGATGCGGATCACGGAGTCTTTCTTCCAGAAGGCACTCAACGTTGTCTTGATGACACGTTTGCGCACTCCTTTCTGTTGGACCGTGTAGATTTCTATCTGTTCCGGGTTCTTTGTTTTTTCTGGAGACAACATGAAAAATACTTTTTATAATTTACGCACCATAAAGATTTAATTAAATTATAGACGGTTATAAATTAGAGTTACAAAAAGACGCATCAACCCAAAAAAAAGTATTCGCTGATGCGTGCGAAGGTTACATATGGGCGCACAGGACACACGATTTGTCTGCTAACGTAATTAAAATGAACGCGACTCGGCGGCATGTACGGCATGAATTTATTTACAAATCCTATTGTAAACGCTTAGTGCGTGCGACCGTGAGCAAAAAACGGTGCCAATCTACTCAGTGCGTCCACTGGCGCCGACCTACGCGCACGCTATCGAAAACCATATTTGATGACGATCGGGCGGAAACCGACAAGAGAAACACATTATTTCTATTAAAGATACTTAAGTATTACATACCTTTACCCTTCTTCCACATGGCGATTGCGTACATATGGTAGTCTGCTGACAACGTAGAGTCCGGTGGCAACGGATCTTCCGCTCGGACCTCCAGTACGAAACCGGACTCGAGAACCGCACACAATATGTTCTGTTCCTCATGTTTAAACCACTTGGTCTCGCGGAGCTTATGTATAGCCACTGATGAGCCGAAACGCGGCTTCTTCGGCGCGAACAAAGCCTGTGCTTGGCTCCCGAAACGAGACAGGAGCCCCTTCACCGTCGGCTGCGGCGCGAGGCTCTTCTCCGGCGGCTTGATCTGCTGGAAACTCCGGCAGGTCACGAACCTCGCTTCCATTGAACCCTCTCTCTCTAAGATTCGTAAAACAATCGTCCCCCACTCAACTACTATGGTGGTATTAACGGCAGAGTACTCTCACTTCGAGAAATCGCTGTAGACACTTTCACAATTTATCGCGTGTTTTTAATTTCACGGAGCACTGAGTTACACTGTGGCGCAGTAACGATAGACGCGGCGCGCGTGTGGCCGCTTCACTTTATACGACTAGGTGGGGAGTGGGAGGGGCCGGGGGGCCCCGCAACTTTTGCATGACCCCACTAGAGATGGGCGCGTCACTAATATACCTAACGTTTATTCATATACGTTCGCTTTGAAATACTACGCAATTTTGTTGTTATCAATACATCTGTGATCGTTATCTTTTTGATTAACTATTATTATAAGTATTTATTTTTAAATTCAATTATTTTTTACGCCGTTCAATTTGTGTAAACTGAAACAAATGTTGACACTCATATTTTATACCTGAAAACGAAGCGGTCACGAATTTGTTTTAGAAAAACTAATCTGTTTTATTAGTTTATATTTTTACATTCATTACTTAATTTTGTTTAACTACCTAAATGGAATTGTATATTCTTAATTAAAATTGTATAGTCAAACATATCAATTATCTTTTTTTTAATTTAGTCTTTAAATACTTATCAACCTTTAGATTATCCAAACTCGATAAGTGTATTCTTACTTTGTATATTGTATATTGTATGTAGCTTAAATTGATTTTGTAATATTTGTTTAAATTGTCAATATCATAGTATCCAATGAATAAACATTAAATTTGATCGGTTAATTAAATACCATAATAACTGAATAAAAAGAAACTAAATGTTGTATAGGTACTTTACATTTGTTATTTCAATTATACTCGTATCAGTATAACTTATACATTAAGTATATGTATATAAACTAGACAATTCTTTATTAAGTCTGGACCGTAATTTTTATTCTTATCAATAGAAGACGTCATTATTTTAATTCAATGATATTGCTTTTCAATTAAAATCACTATACTCTTTTACAACGACATGTTTTGTGCTTATAATATTTATTAAAGTACCAAATAAAATCTTGTTTCGATTTATATTTGTTATCATAATGTTTTTGATTTTCTTATATAAAATGGGGTTCCATATTCCGATACCTAAAATGGTTAAATCCATTTGATCAATTGTAAATTTTTACTCTTGGACATCACTAGTATTGCACTAAGATTGACCTCACTCGAGCTGTCAAACCCCCCTCTCCCGCTGGCGCCCCCCCACCCCCTCGCCCCTCCCGCGCTCCGTGCTCGCGACACGTCGGCGCCAACAAGCGCACAGGTACATTTTTTTCTTGTTTCAATCGCAATCTGTACCGTAATCACGAAGATAGATTGGTGATTTTATTCAATGGAATTCGTATTGTAGTTAATGATTATAAATGAATTTAAAATTATAATAAGTTAGGATTTTTCGATCGGTTTAGCTTATTATCTAATCGAGGTTGTCATTCATTTAGATAACAAAATCATATAATCCATACACGACTTTAAAAAAGAAGTTATTTTGCTTTAATAACTATATAATTAGAATTAATATTACAATTGTTTCCATAGCGTGTCGTCTAAATACTTGCGCTTGGTACTTTATACCGAACCATAGACAAATATTATAAAATTTATAATCTGCAGATAGGAAGGGCTTTAACATCTCTAATAATTGTCATCCATTAATTATTGATTGATGACAAATATTAGAATCAGAAGAGGCGTAAACTACACTTGTGTCGAGAGATGCAAAGATTGGACGGCCAAAGACCTATTATAAAATTAATCTTACTATTACTAATCTCATAAACACTAGTTATATACAACCTTCACCGTTCCTTAAGCTATACACACATCTTAGTGTAACCAAACTTAATGTTGATCAACAAAAAGCTTATAGCTACTCAGTTTTAAGCTCAAGGTTATTCACTTGTATTGGCTGACGTCATTCACATACGGTATGGGGCGTGAGCCCGACGCTACACGTGACGGCGACGTCATGTGGTACAATATTGTAAAAAGAAGATTTGGAAAAATATTTTGGTCTGATAACAAATCGATAGAAGTCGTAGAGGCACACGGAAAGTAATTTCGTTAACGCATCGCCAACGAATACTGGTGAGGTGACGTTAGTGTTCTGATGAGTTTACATGTAACACACCTGAAGACCTATTTTCTTTCTCATCTAAATAAAATTTGGAAAATCTTGAATTTTTTCGAATTTTGTTAGATTTTCTCTGCATCAGAGGCAGTGTCGGACCCTTACTTAGTTGCATCAAAAATTATCGATAAGATCCGTTTATTTGGAGTCATATTAGCAATTCGTAAATAGAGATTTGATTTCTGAGAAATAGAATAGAAATTCTCCCGTTCACCTAGGACACCTAGATATTGTCCTAGTACAATAAAATTGCAATTACGTCATGATGCCTCACATGAAAGAACACGTGTGCGTATTTCAAAACACTTTTCAATGCATCCAATTTAAAAAAAATATGAAAAATTGTCCTGTTTTTTAAATGTAATATTCGTGTATAACCGTATTAATGCGAGTCGCTCTTTGCCGGTCTATACTTTGTTTTATGGCACTTTTTCTATAAAGAACGGCCTTATTATTTATACAAATGTTGTAATTATTTTAAAAACATTTTATTGAAGCTCAATCTTTTTTAAACCTATGATGATTTTGGCCATTCCCGGAGAAAGTGCCGCCATTTGTACTCTCCTAGATGCGACCCTGTAAACAACACAGACACAGGGTCACTATTTTGAGCAATCCCAGTGCTCAGCTTATTGGAGGAGCTTTCTCTGTCACTACAAAGCTTATTTGAATTTTTCTTTAACCGTTTGAAAGGTATTCCGGATGAACATATCCTGGGATCAAAGACTTCTATGACTATGTCTTTGACTGAGGTACTAAAAGATTACTTTTAGTTCAATATCAGAATAACGTGTCCCTTTGAGAATTATTTTTGTTGTGTGTTCGTGACTTGAAAACAAGGAAAATGTCTTGTGCCTTGTAAAATGTAAACACCTTTGAAACACGTTTGACGTTATTCGTAAATTAATCATTTAAAATTTTAATCACTGCGTGAGCACATGCAGCATAGCACGGTCAGCTAATTTTCCCCGAAACTATTGCAACCACACACACAAGTAACTCGTCGACCTAAAAGCGGTGTAAATGAATGATTTTCGATCACTTATGGGGCGGGAATAAAATTTAAAAAGTTTTACAATGTATATCGTGTGAATTAAAAATGCATTTAATAAACTACATACAGATTGAACTAGGTTCTGTTTATAGGGCACCGTGTAAATATTCAATTTCCAAAAGGGTTCCGTTGCCAAAAGGTTTGAGAAATGCCGACTTGTGAGATAAGGCCCCTGAAATGAAAACAAAGATAATGTTTGTGTACACATAGGTACAAAGTTAGCAACATCTAACAAGTGATCAATCTTCCGAGGCGTGTACCTCCATCTACATCGGAAATGAACCTGCCGACCTCGTCACTCAACATTACCGTTGACCTTCGATGAGCTAATATTTTTGTCACGGTAATTAGTTTTCTTTTATTGCATCTGTGCCAATGAGAACAACACTAAACATATGTCCGTTAAGATATTTATGTAATGAAAAAGAAAGATCTTGAAGTGCATTTTTATTTTAGTGATGCCTATAGTCTTCACGCAAAAAGAACAATTTGGTGGTCCTCTGTCATTGATTCGATAATATTTTTTGGCCTTTAATTCAAAAGTAACGTTCTAACCATAGATATCGGAAACCTATGGTTGGTATGGCCCAACAGATTCGAATAAATTATTGGAAAGAGAATGAAAATATATTTATTTCGGTACATAAAGTATGCTCTTAGATTTATTAATATCAAGTATAAGTACTGGCTGCTGAGCTGTAGTTTGGAGTCTATTCAATGTAAAAAAACAATCGAATTATAACCTCTTTCTAATATTGTAGTATAGATGAAACTCATCTAAGTAGTCTCTTTGATTTAGCTGATTCAACATATACAAAGTGATACAGACACAAGCTTGACACTGATTTTCAACTAGTTCCTGTATTTTATTTTATTTAAAATGTGTGAATATTTTCATAGAAGCTACTCAGCGTCTAACATGCTACTATCCACTTTCATGTTATTATTCTATGGTCACTCAAATGTAGACTGACTGCGTCACTGTTCATGTCAAGTAAATTAGTACAGTTAGAGTCTTATGCGTTGTACATTTTACAATACATCGCTAAAATAATACATAACTTGCACAATATATTGATGCAAATCAAAAAATTAAACAATCCACATCTTTTGTGTCCATACATGTGATAATTAGCATACAATAAAAAGGTTTATTAGCATAAATGTGATCGGGAATTAAGGTAGAATAAAGAGAAAATGTAAAAGATGAAATCAACAAATATGGCAAAGGAAAAGTAGAGTCGATCCAAATAACAGAATCTGGATAAGAACAGCCAAAATATTATGAATGGTGAAACATTAATTTCGAAGTTTAGTTGGCAAATTTCTTGCCTGGTACATAGTCACGGTTTCTAAATATAAATAATGAAAATCAGTAATAGCTGCCTTGTTAGCTAATCACTGCATATTAAATTAAGGTTTACTATTTATTTCGTGTGTTCTGTATGAAACGTCTATTTTTAACCTACCACCAGCTCAAAAATCTCTTGACTTATAAGAATAATGATATTATATTTTTTTATTTTCTAATAACCCCTCAAAGTGACCTCAATGTTTCAAATTTATTTATTTGCTTTACATTTCCGTCTTTACATTGCTGACTCATATATGTTTAAAAAATTACAACTCCATCGGTTAAAGTAGAATTGTGACAAGCCAAATCGACAGACTGACATAAGTATATCTTGTTTTCACTACTTATAAACAGAGATATTTTGGTTTACCTCAAATATTGTGCAACAGAATGACGTCTGTTGATATCAGCTTACGTTACCTTCAAAGTTGAAGTGTTTCCCCATTCAAATATCTTGAAATCACATTGGAAAATTACTCTATCATATCAGCAAATCTCAAATAAAATCAATATAATTTATTCAGTCTAAGTTATTACAATAACTTGTGACAATTTAAAAATGGCACCCCTACCTCGACTCTGAGAATTTGTAAAAATTTAAATTCACTTCAAAAAGCGACATCCGCTCAATCTTGAATGAGGAAATATTTAAAAAAAACAAAAGCACTAAAAAGCACCTCCACTAGATAGCGACTCCAGCAAAAGTTGATTTTTACAG